TAGAAGTAGCCCACGTAGCCTTTTCTTTTCTACCCAGTAAAATTACACTTCTTTAGTAGTGTGATGTCTATTCCTTAAAAAATAAAGATTCACAAATAGACACAAGACTTAGAACCTAAACTATGTCTTTAGTTATTTATCTGTTGTACTTTTAGAAATTATCTGGGCCCAAACTCTAGTTTTAATAAACCTCTTGAGGCATGTCCTCCGCTTGCTGTCAGAAAGAATTTCTTCTAAATCATTTTACACAAACAGGTGTTCCTTGGCAGGTCCTAGAATGAAGAGAAGATCAAATCCCTGCGGCAATACTCTCACTGTGTAACAGCTTACTGCTTTAGGGAATTTTTATGTATCATTAATCTTCACTAGAATAATCTGAACTTTTTCATTTATGTAGCATAGCCACTTCCTTTCTATATGCTCTAATAATTATGAGTATTTTTCTATGCTTAACTTTTTATATGTTCATCTCTTTACAAGATGGCAACTTCTGAGCAATGTTACCAAACCCAAAATATCACACACAATGACACCAGTATCACTTTAAACCTGTATTAAGTCTAGTAAAACTCTGTTATAGAAATATCCAAAGAGGTATTTCTCCTTTTTTTTTTTTTTAACAGATTGTGGACTATATTGCAAAACTTCAAAAACACTTATGGATTGTAAATGTTCCTTGTCTTCATATAAACCCCTAACATGTACTAGGTGTTGCTTGTCCTGTGTTGCTATCTTTCCCTTTCATAGTCCACTAGTATTAACCAATATATTATAATAATCTCTTTTGAAGAAATAAAAACAAGCTCTCTGTCTCTGTCGCTGTCTCCATCTATCTCGGATTCTCTATCTCTCTGTCTCTCTTTCTGCCCTCTCTGGCTCTCTGGCTCTCTCTCTGTCTTTCTGTCTGTCTCTCTGTCTGTCTGTATTTCTCTGTCTGTCTCTGTTTGTCTCTCTCTGTCTGTTTCTCTGTCTGTTTCTCTGCATCTGTCTGTCTGTATCTCTCTCTCTCTGTCCGTGTGTCTGTCTTTTCTGTCTGTCTTTCTGTCTGTCTCTCTGTCAATCTCTACCTGTCTCTCTCTGTCACTATCTCTATATCTCTGTCTCTATCTCTGTCTGTCTCTGTCTGTCTGTCTCTGTCTCTTTTTCTGTCTGTGTTTCTTTCTCTTTTTCTGTTTGTCTACATCTGTCTGTGTCTGTCTCTCTGTCTCTCTGTCTCTATCTCTATGTTTTTATATGTCTGACTCTGTCTCTGTTTCTGTCTCGTCTCCCTCTCCCTCTCCCTCTCCCTCTCCCTCTCCCTCTCCCTCTCCCTCTCCCACTCCCCCCTCTCCCCCCTCTCTCTCTAGGCAGATTTCCTGTGTAGCCCCATTGGCCTAGAAATCACTATGCAGACAAGGCTGGTGTTGGGATTAAAAGTGTCTAGAATCAAACTCACATGCAGTTTTTGCTAAATCCTTCTGTTTTGTTTGACAATTATCTTTGTAAAACTGTGCTGGTCCTACTTCATTTTCATTGCATACTAAAAACTGCTTGTCACTTACTAGCTTCTTGTCACTTTCTAGCCAATTCCCTTAATCATTCACTTATTATTTCCATGACTTGAAGGGTTCAAAACAAAAAAAAAAAAAAAGGACACAAAGTTAAGTGGGCAGGAAAGGAGAGGTGGATCTGGGAGAAGTTGGGAAACAGGTGAATAAGATAAAAATACATCATATAAAATTCTCGAAGAAGTAATAAAACTAATAACAAAATATAACTTACTGGAAATGTTAAACAAAAAGGTATATCAATGGACCCTGTTTGATTTCTTGTTTTTGATTTATATGTTAGCAAAGGACATGTTTTGGGGCTTTACATTTTTAAACAAAACAATTATAGTATTTTTATAGTTATAAACTACTAGGTAGGTATGGGGATTGGGATATATTTCACTGACAGACCACTAGCCAAACATAACCAAGACTGGTTAAATCAGTTCAACAAAGACACAGTAGCAGTATCAAAGTGAGTAATTTTGACTGACAATCTACACTAAAATATAAAAAGGAGGAGGCAGAGAGATGGAGAGAGGGAAGAAGATAGGGCATGAAATTGAGGACAAAGGATCCCAGGAAGGAAAAGGAGAGGAGAAGATGAGAGTGGACTAGAGAAGTGGGACCTAGACTAGAGGAGAGGAGGAGACGTGGTAAATAGAATAGAAAACTCTAAGGTAAGAAAAATGGGAAGGTTAAGCTACACTGTATAATTTGGTTGAGACACAAGTAATCTTAAAGCAAGCATGTGCTTTAAATAATTTTGTACAAATATTCAACAATTGACAGACAGTCAGATATTTACTCATTAAACATCTTTTTCACACCATGCATTTATATTCTCAATTGTCAAAGTATGCATATCTCTAGAATACTATGTAAAAAACCAGATTCAATCCCCACTTATCATAGCATGCACATATCAAAAATGATTACTTAAAATGAAACATGAATTTGTATTTCGAATATTTCAATCAAGAAAGCTATAATATAAGTGACTTTTTAGATTTAATTTGCTAATTAAATAATTGCAATGGGGGTGTAAGCCGAGGTGATAAAAGTAATGCATCTCCATTTGTATAAGAACTCCTAATGCTTTCCAATTAGATTTGCTAGTGAGAAAAAAAATACTTCCTTCTAAATTTTTATGGAATGGCCATACATGTTAGTCTGAAGTAAACATTATATACAATTAACATGCCATAAAACTGAACATTACACTGTGTATTTTAGTCACATTTTATATATTTTAAATACAATGCATGTATAATTACTAAATGATCTACATTTGCTTGTGGTGACAGAAAATTAAATATAATACCCAGCAGCACACATTTGGAAAGCTTTGGATTTTGAATCATTTTTATCAAACTTGTAAAAGATCTATAAAATCAAAACAAAATGATAAATAATGACAAGACTCTTGCTTAATATACAAGATCAAGCTTCAAAAATTCATTCGATTCTCAGGCCTCAGTGCTTCTGGTTTTGTCAGTTGGGATAGGTATGAAGATTAAGCCCTTCATCTTTTTAAGATGAAGATGCCAAGTGCACTCCTGTTCTTGATCTATGGAAATCAGTAATGATTCTAATCAGTAAGCTACATACCTGTTTCTCTTAAGCAACTGTGGTAACAAACATAGTGAAAATGACTGAAAGCTAGGAAAGTATATGAAAAAAATATGGACTTTCAAGTTTTATACTTACTACCAAAGCTCACCTGAATAGATTCACATTCACCTGAGTCTTAACATACACATGGGGAAAAGCAGTCACAATTTAAATAGTAGATAAGAATTAGCAAGGCAAATGTTTCACTTATCCTATTTGTTGTTTTGTATAATTATATAAAGACATATTTGATTTGAGAGGTGAGAAGTAGGTATGTGACAAACTCATTTATAAAATGAAGAGTGCAAAATATGAGAATCCCAGTCTAGCTTAGGCCATCATCTAAATAATAGTGTCCTAACAGATTTATATTATTAAAATAAGCTTACATTTGAAATAACGTTAAGTTTTTTCTAAGTCTAAAAGCAAGACATATGAACTAATTGTTCCACATTTCTAGATCTGCTACTTGTTTTTCAAACATAGGAAGTCCTACTTTGATTCAAAACAAAGAAATTCTGGCTGTTAAAGAAGAACTTATATAGTATAGACCTGTCACTAGTATTTTATGATGAGAAAAGGTCACATTTGCATTTCAATAAATCATACATCTGACATATACAGAAAGAACTGTAAAAGCAGTTTTATGTAATGAGATATAATAACCAGGAAAATGAAGCTTTTAAGATTTAATCAACAATAATAAACTCACCTTACAGTTTGCTTGCATTTAAAAATACCCATAAACTGATAGATGAAATAAAATGCAAAATTACAAATATTATTTTTCTACAATTCCTACAATCACACCACACCCAATGACATCTAAAAGTAACACCACCAAAATGTTGCAGGGTACTTAATAGGCTCAGTAAAGAAAACTTGCATTGAACCTACACACACATCATTTGCCAGTTTCTCTCCAAACCTCTATCTGCAAAAGAGGTTCTTGATACCAGAACTTCTACAGGTGGAAGTTTCTATTATCCCATCATTATGAGGCAGATGCTACATTATTCCAAATCATTGTGTCACAACACAGTAACCTATGAGCCTCATCTCAATCTTTGATTTATCTGTGGCGACTGCATGGGGAGCACACTGTAGCTGGGGCAATTAAAATTCCTCTATTCTTCCTTTATGCCCAAAAGCTGTACCTTCAAAATGTCTATAAGCCAATGCCACATGGAAAAATGTCAATGATGAATCATATCAATAGCTTACTAGACAGAAATTCACATCAATATGTATTCACTTGAGCATTATATTATTCCCTAACTCCAATTTTGAATAGACAACTAGAAACTAAGCCTGTGTAATGACATGTAAATTGTCAGAGTTTCAACACTAATTGAGTCACTTCTGCCTTGCATTATTGTTCTACTACTCTTTTCTTGCAAAAATATTGGGGAAACCCCATATTCTTTCCTAAATGATACCATTTTTACTGTAAATCCTTCTATGTAAGTCAGCAAAACAGCCTTTAAAAGATTTCGTTATAGACATAGTTGTGAAGGAAATAATAGTATCAAGAAGCAAGTTGAAATAATACACAATAATGTTCCATTAAAAGTGATAACTCTACAAGAGAGGGTTAAAAATCACACTGATTAATGGAATCTGAATGAAACTTTTGGTGTAGAACTCATTCGCATTTCTAATTCATCTCAATGGTGTAAGCCCCTTTAATTTTCATGCACTCACCCTTTTATAATTTCCTCTTAATAACCTTTACTATTTTCCTACATACCTATGATATCTATGTAACAGATTATCCATACTTCTCAGACTCTCACAAATAACACGTGTGTACATATCACAGTCCGCATTAAATGAGAAAAAAGAGTCACTTCTTACCAGAACCTCTTTTGGTCACAACCTTCAGACTCTGAGTGAAAGTAGCATATAAGAGAATCAAATGTGGAATCGGAGCTTTCATCTTCCAGTTCTTACAGGTTGTTCCTTAAGGGAAAGATAAAATGAAAACAATAATTTACAAGATTTATTGACATATTATGAGAATTTTGTGTTCATCTAGGCATTCAGAGTGGGGCCATATATCCTTCGCTGACCTTGAATTCCCTATACAATAGGTTGACATTGCACTCATAACAACCTCCAGCTTCAACCTCCTAAAAGGGTGAAAGTACGAATCAATGAACCTGTTTCTTGTGCACATTTCATTGTGGATATTGGAAGCAATGAATTACTTTGTTTCTCCTTCTAAGTGGTATTGAAGCATCCTCATTTGGGTCTTCCTTTTTGTTAAACTTCTTATGAATTACTCATAAGGAAACAATATCATAAACAGCATCTATATTACATTTTCAAGAAAATATCCATTTTAGGGTAAATCAAAATCAGTAATGCTTATAATGTTTCCATAGCCTTCTCAGAACAATTTCCAATCTTAGGTTCAACTGAAGTTTAGTATTTCTCTAAATATAGAGACCTTACTTGTGTTTAGATAAGGAAAACAATCTCTTCATTTTGAGAACAATTTATTTTAATACACATTACTGATATTAACATTTTAAAATATCCATTGCTACAACACAATATGATTTTTGAAGTGTTTTTCTTTACAAACAAAAAGTTATTAACTGTATGTCTCTCAAGATCTGAGATTTTAAAACTTTCTTAAAATTAATCTGAAAAACATACTTCAGCAAAAGTTTAAGGCATGTGACTATATTGATTGATACAAGACATACTATCGAAGAAAGTTACAAAATATATATCATCATCTATTATAAATGTCTCTTCAGGATACTAAGAAGTATATTATCATACCATTTGTGTATCGAAAAAGCAAAATATTCCATTTTACATGAACTATATGTACATTTTCTTCTCCAAAAATATCTTTTTAAATTTTATACATAGAAAACGGTTAGATTGCATATATTTAAGATATGTAATATGATGTTTTATAAGAATTTACATTGTGGCGTAGTTGCCTTTTATGCCTGAGGGATCAAAGTTTGAAAGATATACTGTCAGCAAATTTGTATTACATAGCCAAGTATTATTAAGGAGAGTCCCCTTGGTGTATATCAGACCCCTATAATTTATTTATTTACTTGGGCAAGTTTGTGCTCTGGGAACAACATCTATTCATTTTCCTAAGAAGTCCTTGGCAAATACTCCTCTGGCTTTCTCTTGGATTATAAGATGAAAATAGTAGAGTTGAGCACTGTGGACTAAATTTGAAAAGTAACAAGTTAGAACACAGTTCAGATATACTATAGGCCTATGACAGCACAAATTTCTTTGAAGACATTTGATGACTGCTCATAGTCAGCTGTCTATCACTATGAGTTTATTACACATGAGAAAGCTGAACTGTACTTTGACAGCCAATTTTTTTTCTCTCCCACAGCCTCAGATATATCTGAATATTTTTAAATGTTTAATTCATTCACATTGATAAAAGTCTATTAAAATATATTCCACCTTATAAGTCAAAATCCATTTATTTGATGCATCATCATCATTACAGTCTCAAAATCAGAAAATTATATAAAAATTGCATGCAGAATAAGCTATTTTAACTTTAGTACACATTTAAATGATAACTATTTTTAAAGCAAGAATCTAGGGTTATCACAAAGATATAAATGAAGCTCATCCAAAGAGCCAATTCACCAGGCACATCTAAATAAATGCCACATTGCATTGCAAGGTTGACTCATGCATTCCTAGAATCCAAATCCTATTTCTCAGCCACTACACTAACTAGAACTGTAGAAATATTTAAAGTTGGTATCTTCAGCCTTCAGGTTAGCAGCAAGAATCAGTTCCTTTCTCAGTGGGAGTTTAATCAGTGCTGCTCAAGAAACTCCAGGATCTAACTGTAAACTGTAATCTCTTCCAGCTTAACTATCTTGTTTCTTGACTCTTGTTCAAAATACTATTTCCTTACCTGTTTCATTTCTATAAGACACACTAGTTTGTAATTCTATTTCTGAAATTCAAATTGTAGAAAGCATCATTTTTTTAACATCAAGATCCTTAATTGAATCTCTTGAAACTGTATATTAGGAAAAATAGATTTATACTTGTTTCATGGTTTTAATGCTATGGTCAATCTATAATAATCTTTAAAATGTCTTTTAGAAATGTTGTTGTATCTTAAACTGAAAGATAGATTAAATATGTCTAAACATAGATATCTATGACTTGCTGTATTTTCAGCAAAATTAAGATTGTTACCTAGAAATAGCAATGAAAGCATATCTAATAGTTTCCTTTATCAGCAGGCAATAAGTTCCAAGATCATCATTTGATCCTTAAAAGCAGAGATAGCACAAAGACCTATGAATACTGTGTTTTCTTATTAAGCATAACTACACTTAAAGTCAATTTATAAATTAGATGTAGTGATAGGTTAATAAAAATTATAAAATATGCTATAATAAGTTTTAAAATTTCTCTATCCCAATACTTTGTTGAACTATTGTGATGACTGGATGTTATATTGCCAAAAATGAGATAAATTATTTGAATGATACTAACCTTTTGGAATCAAATTAGGCTACTACAGAAGGCTTACTTGCTTTCAAGTACTACGATTTCACCATAATCTTTTGATGGTAATGGCTATAAAATGAGTAAAAGTTAAGGGGCATAATCAACCTGGACACAATGCACAGAGGGAATATGTACATCCCAGGTGAGGAAGAACATGACAGCATGAGATTTCATCAACCACTCAGAACCGTATGAGATTTGGAACTTGTGAATTGTTGATTTGTGGAGTATCAAAGTTTATAGTTTGAAAACACGGATAACTGTGAGGTATCTTAACTATAAACACTCAAATCATAAAAATGACATTACTATATGAACATTTACTGAAATTATTAATTAGCTTGTTACACTGAAGCTCATATTTTGAGTCTTTTAGTTTCCTTCCTGTTGTTGTGAGTAAAAAATGAATAAATAAAACCACTACAAATAATGAGAGAATGAAAGGGATGAATTCCATGTATATTTCCAAGTCACAATCTGTCATTGAGTGAAGACAAGGTAGGAACTAAATTTTATATATATATACTCCCACTATCTCATGCCTAGGGAATGTTGCTGGGCACAATGAGTTGTATCTTTTATATCAATTAATACTAAAGAAAATCCCTCATATACTTGTCTGATGACAAACTATATATAGGAAATTCCTTAATTGAGGCTTCTTTCAGGTAATGTTAGGATATGCCAAATTAATAATTATTACTAACTAGGACATTCTACTCTTTGTCAGTGTGACACACAAACATGTCACTATGAAATAATAACTTTTTTGGTCCCAAGATCTTATGAAAATATAATATAAAACATAGTTCAACTCTGAATGTCTTACACTCTTTAAAAATGCCAGTGCTTTAACAGGTGAATAACTTTAAAAATGCAAAGTCTCCCAACAGTGGCATCCTATACAACTCAAAATCAAATTATATATTCGTTCTTATTCCAAAGCAAACTTGGATGTAAAGCAATCACACTTAAACACACACACACACACACACACACACACACACACACACAAATAGTAGAGCAATGTAGCTTCAAAGGGCTTGAGCAACCAAACTTTTCAGCTCTGCCATCTACATCATATACCACATGTTTCCTAGGCTCAGATTGGCTCCACCTCATATCTGTTGCTGTTAATATTAGCATCTCAAGTTCCTGGCTTCTCCAAGATTCTGGTTTATTTGTTACAACTGAAGGAGACTTCACCTACACTAATGCCATATCTTCCAGATTTTGGACACTGGCATAATGTACCAAACCTTACCTTCCTTTCACGACCCCTCTAATCCTGCAATTCTCATGCCTTCAAAACCAATTACATGTGAGTGATTTTGATGTTGCCAAGCATGGCTTCCAACTTAAAATGTGTACTTAGCTTTCTTGGACCAAACTTTTGTGTGGCCAATCTAACAAAACACTTTCTTATTCACAGAAAATTTCACTTCAACGTTGCTGGTAACATATTAATCAGTGCTCATTCTTCAGTTCCAGCATGACAAGCTCACAAAAATTCTTAGTCAAAGCATCACATAAATGGCCCCTAGTCCAGTTTGTAATTAAGTCTTTGCTCCCTCCCGACAACTCACAATCCAGGCCTCCACAGGCTATATTATCTTCCAAGATCTCTCACAACAGCTCATTAACCTCTGTGCAGTCAACAGGTTTCCTACTGTAAAGCTAAAACGTCTTCTACAATTCTGTACTAAATAGCCCAAAAGCATAAAATGCTTCATGGACAGGTTTATCAAAACAGTATCTACACTCCAGATAAAATTTTCTGCCCTAGTTTTATTTCTGTTGATGCTATAAAAATATTCTTACCAACTTAAAGGAGAGGAAACAACGGAGTTTGTTCGATTTATATTTCCACATCACACTCAGTCACTGAAGAAAGATGAGTCTGAACTAAAGGTAGGAACCAAAAGGGAGGAGACATGCAGAAATGCTTGTTGGTTCACTCTCTGGCTCACTGCAAGTTGCATACTTAGGCAGCTTTATAAAATAAATCCCAGGTACGTCTGTATGAGTATGGGGTTATCCATCCTTTATCAGTTAATAATGGAGACAATCCTTTATAGACATGCCTCCAAGAAAATCTGACATATCCAAATCCTCAATGAAGGTTTCCCCTCTTACATGACTCTTTTATATGTTACATTGACAGTTCAGGTTACTCTCATGACACTGATTGTCTTAGTCAGGGTTCCTATTCCTGCACAAAACATCATGATCATGAAGCAAGTTAGGAAAGAGAGAATTTATTCAGCTTAAACTTCCATATTTCTTTTCATTACCAATGGAAGTCAGGACTGGAACTCAAGCAAGTCAGGAAGCAGGAGCTGATGCAGAGGCCATGGAGGGATGTTACTTACTGGCTTGCTTTCCCTGGCTTGCTCAGCTTGATTTC